TTCAGTCATTTAATCTTAAAGCAAGAATAGAGATGAGTTTTAAAAAAGTATATGTGAGGAACTTCTTTTCTATTGGCATGAAGTGGCATGAGAGACACTTAATTTTAGAGACCGTTTTACAACAGAAAAACTGGCAGTTTGGACTGTAAGAGACATTACAAAGGAAGAAAACCAGAAAAAGAGTAAAATGACTCCATAGACAGAAAATAGACTGAAAAAGTTACTAAGCTGAAACTGTGTGCTTTAACAAAAAAGGAGGGGGGAGTAGATAACTGAGGAAAGAGTTGAAGGACCCGAGAATGGAATCTGAAACCAGAGTAGAGTATTCACAGGCATTTGAACCTATTCAAGTTAGTCCAATTAGATTTAGAAATTGCTTAGGGACTGTGATTCTCGTCTTCCTTAAATTTTCTCCTTCGTGAAATACGAATGCCTCATCTCTATCCAGGTATTATATTGTGGGAGCACAATGATTTTCTAGTTTTGCAATTCCACATACAAAGGGTAATTTTGCTCCAGGATAGATTATATATTGCATGTGCGCTATACTTCATTTAGATTATGGAAACAGGGACATTTGAACTTGTATTTAGATGCAATGTTGGACTTAAGACAATAATGAAATGGGTTTATGCATCTGACTGTGTTGCTTTGTAGTGTATATATTTTCATATGGGATAAACTTAATAGGGCTCAAGATGGACGATAGTAGGCTGAAAAACAAATTGCAAGTATATAATTTCTTAAACACTGTGACTGATTAATGTCAACTTACATAAAAGAAGAGAAATTTGTAAGTTTGATTAAAATTTGAGTTAGATAAACTTGGATTATTCAGGTGAGTCCTAAGGTATAATCACAACTTTGCTTATAAGGAGGCTGTAAAGGAAGATTTGGCTACAAGGACCCACCCATTAACAAATAGAGCAATGGATATCTGAATGGATTATTTCATGGATGAATATAACACTCTGATCCAATCAAATTTCAAAAGTTCCACCTCTGAACACAAACTTTTAGGAAAGGAAGCAATCAAGTATGACATCAAAGATATGCTTGTATGTGTGCATGCTTTTGTGTGTGTGTGTGTGTGTGTGTGTGTGTGTGTGTGTAGTTAGGAAGCTAAATGAATGGCGATGCCATTTTCTGAAAAAGAGAACACTTATGAATGATCAGACTTTGATGGAGTACATATGACAAATATTTTTGTGCACAAAAATACAGAAATTTTATTAGGCCTGTAAGTGGAAATGTCAACAAGACAGTTGTACACATGAATATGGAAATTAGTGGAGAGATATTGTAGAGACATGTTTGATTTTTTAAATTTTTAGTTGTATATGTTTACAATATATATAATATATACATTCATTATGGAGAATTGGTATATATACATATTGTACCTTGATCCTTTCTGTCTTGCTTTCATTTCCCTCCATCCCATCTTTTCCCAGGGACTCAACATTGTAGAGGAATCATATAAAAAGTCTTGATGATAATATACACAGAATATTTATGCATAATAAAGAGAAGTGTTCCAAGGACTGAATTTTTGAGCTTCCCAACACTAAGATCAGACAGGGGAATAAAACTCAGGAGGAGCAGAAACTGAAAAGGGATAGCTGGTAATGTAGAAGAGAAACCCAAAATATTTAGTGATATAATAAACAATGGAGAACTATTATATTAAGAGGACCAGCTGTATGAAATTTTGCTAGTAGATTTATGTGTGTCTGTGTGTGTGTGTGTGTGTGTGTATGTGTGTGGTGAACTTAGTTTCCATCAAATGCAAAAGACCAAAATCTAGAGTTCTAGAGTAGGTTTCAGAGAGAAAATAGTATTTTTAAGGAGGTGGTGTGATAAACTAGCATGAGATAAGTAAGTTTATTCACTTTTGTTCTCTTTGAAATAACTATGCATTCATTAAATTTTTCATTTAACATCTATCTGTAATCAACACTGTCAATAGGAGTGAAGGAAGATGATGTTACAAATACAAATAATTTTTTTCAGAGTATTGCTGCATAAATATGACAAAATGCAAAGGTAAGAGGAAAAGGGTGAAGTTTTTTTTTAAACAACAGGAATAAATACTCTGATAATAGTAATGGTCCCATAATGATATAAGAAAAATGTGATAGTATAAGAATGGGAGTTACTTATAATGGCTCATCCTTAAGCAGTGAAAAAAATAATGGTCAGCAGGGTATCCTTACAAAAGATGTATTCAAGGTCTTATATCAGTGAATGTGGTCTTGTTTGGAAGTAGAATCTTTAAATTTTAAAAACTGTGATCAATTTAATATTAAGTCATACTGGCCTTATGTTGTTTCTTAATCAAATTAGTAGTGTCTTTATAAGGAGAGGAAAATTTGAATACAGACACAAACTAAGAGGCAGAGATCAAAATGATGAATCCATAAGCCAAATGATGTTAAGAATTGCAAGAAATTGCCAGAAGATATGATGGAGAGGCATATAACATGTACTTCTCTGAGACTCCAGAGGAAAGCAATCTTGTTGACACCTTGATTTTGGAGTTCTAGTCTCTGTAACTATTTAATAATAAACTTGTAGTGTTGCAAGCCACCTAGTTTGTGGTAATTTCTTATGATAGTTCTTGTAAACTAATGAGCCCAATTGTAAGAATTAAACTAAGTTAGCAAAAAGAAGAGGACATGTGCTCTAAAAGGAAGGAAAGCATGCAATAAGGGTAAGGAGGCACGTAGTCTAGTGTATGCACTTGTGAGAATACTCATTTTTTCCATATTTGTTTTTCTTAGGTCAGAATGGGAAAAAAGAGAAAATACTTTAGATTTCAGTACAGAGGAAAAGCATAAATGCTCATATTTGATAAAATAATTGAATAGATTGGATAAATGCAATGCCATTTCCATATAGCATTAAGAGACTATATTTGTCGTCACAGATTTAATCTAACGCTAATTTTCTTGGTCACATATTTTTTTCCAAGACTCTTGTAAAATTGCAAGTGTAGAGTAATAGGAGAGTTAGTTTTATTTAATTCTTTTTTATCAGCATAGATGTGAAAAAGAACATTGGTGTAACAGGAAATGAGAAAATATGTGGGAATGTTTTTGTGATACATCATAAGTTTTTAAAAATCTAAGATAAAAATGCAAGCAAAGCCATGGGGAGGAAATTCCTGGGACAATGAAAAGGTAGTTGAATTAATTATTGGTCTTAGAGGGGTAGAGGAGTGAAAATAAATGTCGGAGTAGTGATATTAAAGGTACCTGTGTAGTGGGTTAAGTAGTGAACTGTTTGCAATTGAGATCTGGGGTATGTATGCATGTAAATTAACTACTAACATAGGAGTAACACAAGGTAACTGAAAAAGAAATCAAAGATTTTAAATGTTAAATATGAAAATGATTACCCATATGGTAAAGTTATCAAGAATTAAGACAAGTGCACTGTTCCATGAAATGATAGCAGGACCAACAGAAAATAATAGGAAATTAAAGTTACCTGAGACCAACCTAAAGGATAAAACATGGAAAAATAATAGGTGGCATAATCTGACTATAGAAGATTAAAAGGTGGGTTATTTTATGAAAGTAGGGCAGGAGCATAATCTTTAAGTGGCACTGAGGAAAAAAATTCAACAGCTATTGCACTTCTATGTCTAGTAAGAGTAGGGAATGTGGGAAGGAAAATAGCACATAACCTAGAAGGCTGAACAAAGTAGTATAGTTTGAGATAGAGGAAGATTTTAGATAAGGTAAGATGATACGAGTATTGTTCAGATAGGAGGCAGAGGAAGACACAGAAGAGGGTTTTGCTGACATTTATGTCAAAGAGTTAAAATACAGTGGTGACATAACCCTGAGGCCTTTGTGATGCAAGATATTGGCAGTAAACTAGAAGTGCTTTATAAAAACACTAGAGTTGAGAAGATAATTTGGGGCCTTTAGGTTTAATTTATAGGGAAAATTCATCTTTTACTTTCAAGTTACTGTATATTTAATTTTATTTTTCAAAAAGTAGCACACACTCATTGGAAAAAAGCACAAATTTGAAGAAATATATTATTTGAAAGTTTAAAAATTACACTAATATTTTTGGACGAATTTTTCAGAATTTGCATTTTAGAGTAAAAACTTTTCTAAATTTTCATTACAATTTTAAGTCATGCCCATTCACATTTATCTTATAAATCAACATATCATATAGCTCAACTATTTCCATGGAACATTAATTTAATTTCTCTTATTAATTTTTTACAATTTTACACTAGGTAATACGGTAATAAATATTCATTTTTTGTTGGTAAAATGTGCTGAATTTTTGCAATCGCATATGAATCAACTTTAAATACATGAGTATTGGCTGGCAGCTAGCTCAAAGTCAATATTAGCCTATTGACATATTATGACATAATAATGGCATATTATGCTATTTTTAAATATTTTCAACACTTTAAAGTTGAGTGGCTCTTAAAAGCAATACTGAAAGGTATAACTACTAATGAGTCTAAAAATACTGTTGTTGACATCATTTTCAACATAAAGAACTGTATAAAAAATAAATCCATTACATTTTTTTGATTAGACATAATTTTGTCAGAAAAATATAATAGTTAACTTTTGTTACACAAAAATAAAGTATACCAACATTTTTATACTATACCACAATCTTACTATATTGTATCTTGCTTTACATTTCAAAGTAGCTTAATATACATCAACTGATTTCAAAATTTTAAAAAGAATATGTTGTTATAAAAATACTGAGATTCAGAAAGATAAAATAGTCAAGATCATACAGATACAGTATATTGTAAAAGAACACAAACTGGTTTAATTTCAAAGAAAAGCAGCTAATATATGATGGACGTTTCATATGTTTAAATAAAATTTTGATCTATAAGGTGGTCATGAACCAACATTCTTTATATTAAAATACATAAATATATAATTAAATTGAGCCAGTATTCATTAGAAATACTAACAAGTATTAGAAAGAGGACATACAACCTTAGAAGAGACATTTCCTCTGCTTCTATGTTGCCAGAACTTCTGAGTTATATATTCAGACTGGTCATGTTGAGGTATGACATCATAAAGAGATTGTGAAGTACAAAATTTAAAGGGAAACAGAGCAGTTACATTTTAGTGAGGATGTGTTCATATATATTTTAAAATCTTGTACTGATTTAGTCAATCATTTATTGATTTTATCTGATAATAGTAAATACTAACTATTCATTTTATATCATCCTATTTTTTATTTGTATTTATTTTTCTCCTATCAGGGTTCGAACGCGGGTCCTTGTGCTTGCGAGGCAGGCGGCGGAACCACTGCGCTAAATCCCCAGCCCTATGTCAGCCCTATTTTGCATTAGTTTTTAGTGTGTCTGTGTGTACACAGGGGGGTGTACATGTATGTGTTTTGATCAATGTGAAGATTATATGAAATAAAAGGAAAATAGAGTACTATAAATACCGCTCTTACAAAGGCAGCTTTAATTTAGTACATTTTCTTCACTTTCAGGCTTTTCCCCTAAAATATTGCATGTGTTTATAGTGACATTTTTCCGAAATAATTGTAATATTTCATATTCTTTGATATGTAAATTTAGCAAAGAAAAATGTCTATTAAATTAATATTTAGAAGTATTAGTTATAGTTATATATAGTTATATAATTTTATTCTAGTTCAACTCAATTACTGCTGGCTAGAACTTTTTAAATATTAATTTTTTCATTAGGGAAATGAAAACTCTTTCGGTAGATAGCAACCTGCACGGGGAAATTTTCCTTATATATGTACCATGTGACATCGTCCAATACACCTTTCTGGCCTCAGAAGAAGCAATTCATTAGTTAGTCTCGTTATACTTTTATCATTTTTTAAATTAAAAAGCACTACATTGTTTTAAACTGAAATCTAATTGCATAATTTTACTAGTATATATTTTCATTTATAAAATGTATATATGACATGAAAATGCATGATTTGAGTAAAAAAATTCTTACAAATTTCTGAGCACAGTTTCTGGCAATCAATATTTTTTCATTTCTTTATTACTTGATTCCCAATATATCCTACTTGGCAAAATGGGGAAAAAATTCTATGGATTTCTTATCTGTGGAGGTGTGAGAAAAAATAAGATTTCCTTTGCTTTCCTTTTTAACAGATGATGTTATTTATAACACATCAAATAATCCAGATGTAACTAACCCACATTCACCTCCTTTCCTATCTATCATATCTACTCCAGTATCTCCTTACCCAGTTTCTTCTGAAACAAATCTTGGAAAGATTTTAGTATATATTTATGGAAGACAACATTCTTTGTTTTATTATGCATAGTTTTCAATATTTTTGTTTTTTTCTTTTTAAAGTTTTAACTGATGCAAAATATTTTATTATATTTATAGAATACACCATGATAATGTTCTAGCAATATGCATACAATGTACAGCAACAAATCAGGTAATTAGCATTTCCATTCTTCAAATATTTATCATTACTGTGTGATATACTTCAGCTTCTTATCTTTTAGTTGTTTTTAATAGAAAATATAATTTTGTCTGCTATAGTTATGTCCACAGCACAACTAACTAATCTTTCCAGTGTGACTGCATTTTATACTCATTCCCCAACTTCTCTTAATTTCTCCAGCTTTTTATTCTGTATTGAACATTATTCAAGTCTATACTTCTATAGGGTCAAATTTTATTTTTTGCTGCCACAAATGAGTAAGAACATGTAGTATTTTCATTTCTGTGTCTTGACTTATTTCTTTTAATATAGTGACATATAATTTCATTCATATTACTACAAATGAGAGGATTCTATTATTTTAATAGTACAATAATATTCCCTTGTGTATATATATATGTTTTACTTTCTTTGTCAATAAACAACTTGTTTTTTGCTTTTCATTGTTTATTGTCAATAGTACTGCAATCAAGTTGCTCGTGCAACTTGATTTTTATAATCATTTTATTTCCTTTAGATATAACCTGGCAGTGGGGTTGCTGGATCACACTGTTATTCTATTTCCAGCTTTTGGAGAAAATGCCATACTGTTTTCCATAGCGATTTTACTAAGTGACATCCCCACCAATAGTGTATAATAGTTTTCCTTTTCTCATATCCTTAGTCAGCCTTTGCCATTTTTGGCCTTTTGATTATAGTAATTCTATTTGGGTACTGATGATATCTCATTGTAGTTTTGGTATGTATTTCCTTTGTGTGCTTGTCATCTTTCCCATTGCTGGACACACTATCTGGCTTAAAGGAAGAGAGATTTAACTGGCTCACAGATGTAGTGGTGTGATCATCTAGCTCCATGTCAAAAACATCAGAGTGGGGGAGCATAGTGGAAGGAATTTATCACTCAATGGCAGGAAGGAAGGAGAGAAAGAAGGGAGAAGTTGGTGACAATAACACAATCTTTCAGGTCATACATCCCAATGACACCCTCCTGACCAGGCCGCAACGCTGAACATTAGTCTTTGGAGGATGTTTTAGATCTAAATTATAGCACTTGTAATTATTTAATATTTTATGAACTTATAAATATTTGTTAATTTCCCCTTGAGAAATGTACACTCAGGTCATTTCTCATTATAAAATCAGATTATTATATTTTTTACTAGCCATATGATTTCCCTTTATATCCTGAATACCAATTTTTTTTCTGAATAAATAGTTTGCAAGTATTTTCTTGCATTTCTCAGGCTATCTCTTCACTCAGTTAATAGACTTTTTTGTGGTACAGAAGCTTTTAAATTTAATGATATTTGCCTAATTTTGTTTTTTTGCCTGTGCTTTTGGGGATTAAAAAAATACTTGCTTGTACTGATGATGTCTTGAAACATTTCCCAATATTTTATTCTACTAGTTTTATGCTTTTAGGTTATATTTTTGGTTACATTTATTTTATGGTTACATCTAAATGTAACCATAAATCCATGACCCATTTTTAGTTAAGTTCTGTGTGGGAGAAATAGGGTCTAGTTCTGCCTTTTGAATATGGAATCCCAGTTTCCCCGGTACTATTTGTTGATGAAACTCTCCTTCCCCTAGGGTACATTTTAAGCAAATTTGTTGAAAATCAGTTGGCTGCAAGTACATTGTTTGACTTCTGGGACCGCTAGCCTGTACCCCTGGTCTCTGTGTCTGTTTTTATAGCACTTTCAAGCTGCTTGTTTTACTATTGTTTTGTGGTATTTTTTAATGTCAGGTATTATGACAGCTCCACTTTTATACTTTTGTTTTGCATTTTTCTTATTATTTTAGGTTTTTTTGTTCCACCTGAATTCAGGCGTTCTTTTTATTTTTATGAAGAATGTCATTCACATTTTGAAATGGATTATACTAATTTTGGACAATTACATTATCTATGATGGATATACTAATACTATCAATTTTTCCAGTTTATAAATATGAGATGTCTTTTGATTTTAGTGACTTCTAAAATTATTTTAATTGCTGTTCCATAATTTTTAATTTTAAAGATCTTGAAACATCTTAAATTTATGCCCCAGCATATTATTTTTATAGCTATTTTAATTGAAATTTCTTTTGTTCTTTTATAGTTAATTCCTTATTGACTAACAAAATAGTAGTTTTATTGTTAATAAACTGATTTATATATGGATTTTTCAGCTTGTCTTTCAATTTTCATGTTCATAAAAACATGATATCTGTAATAAGGTGTCCTTTCACTAAATCAATTTCTTTATAATTCATTTGTTTTTATTGTTTAATTGCTTTTCCTAAGACTTTGCATACTATTTTAATAAGACCAGTAAAAATAAAAGTGACCATCTTTGCCTTGATTCAGATAATAAAATGAATATATTTACCTTTTCCTTGTTCAGGAAAGTGGTCAATGGATTTGTCGTATATACCCCCTATTGTATTCAGGTACTTCCTTGTATATGTGATTTATTGAGAATATTTTTAAAATAAAAAGGGAATTTAAATTTTTTGGAATGTTTTGCTGTGTGTACTGAGAGAATCATTTGGTTTTGTCTTTGTTCTGTTAATGTTGTGTTTTATGTTTATTGATATGCACATCTTGAAATATTCTGGAATTGCTGGTATATATCCCACTTTTTCATGCTGCCTGTTGTCTTAGTTACTTTTCTCACCACTGGGCCAAAAAACTTGAACCTATAATTTAAAGGAGGAAAGATATATTTTGGATCACATTTTTATTCTATAGTTAGGTGGTTCCAAGGCGAAAACAGAATGGCAAAGAGGAATGAGGGAGTAAAGCTGCTTATATCCGTCATCCAGGAAGCACTGAAAGAAGAAAGGAGCCAGGCATTATTCAACAACCATCAAGATCAAGTCTCTAGTGACCCACCTTCAGCCAGGTCCCACCTACAGGAGCACATTCAATAACTGTACACATCAATGGATAAATCTACCTGGAGTACAGCATCTCCATGGTTCATTCACCTAGCAAACATAAGGATTGATGTAAGACATAACATTCAAACACTGACTTCCAAAAGTTTGATGTCCATCTCATTATAAAAAGGTGTTTAATCCATCTTTAAGAGTCACCAATATTTTAAATATTTCAGCATTGCTGAAAAATCCAGAAAAGTTTTTGAGAATTGGCATACATTCTTAAAATATCCTACGAAATTCAGAAGTAAGAAATGATGTCTTGAATTGTTTTATAGAACACTTCTGATTATGCTTTATCCTAATCATTCACTATTAGTCCATTATACTTTTTCATTTGTTATAAAGTCATTCGTGGTAGCTTATGTGTGTTCAGTAATTATTCTATTTCTTCTAGGTTTTACAACTTTCAGCATATAATTCATAATATTTTTTGTAATCCACTATATTTCTGAGGTATCAGTTATAAATGTATTCTCTTTCATTTCTAAATTATATATTGCATACTTTTCTGTTATCTGGTTATTCTACCTAAAGGTTTATCAACTTTATGAATCTTTTTAAAAAATCTACTTTTTTTTAATTGATAGTCTGAATTGCTTTTTCCCCTGAAACTTGTATATTTCTTCTTAAAACATTATCTGTTTTCTTGTTTTTATTAC